AAAACTTACTGACATCTGCATTGAATACTTGCAGAAAAGAGTTGGCTGATTTGTTATATGTAAACATTTCRCATAACTGTTGATAGAGATGGTTTAATATAAATGAGTCCTTGTAGCACTCATGAAACTATTGATTAATGTATGTGAAATGTTAAGGAAACTGAGGTGATGCTTTTCTGAGTGGTATTTGGCTGTTCACAACAAACCTAACACAAAGGAAATCTTTCAAAATTCTAAAATTCTGTCAGTTTATTTTTTTTTAAATTTGTATTCTTGATATAATGACAGAAGGTATTTTTAAGGTATCTGTCAAAAATAGGAAGGCTTTTATAGGAAGTTACAAAGTTCAGAAATCMTATGATCTTTAAGGCTGAGCTTGARAAGCGATGCCATGAAGGAGCAATGACATTATCTCTRCTCCCATCTCCCTGTTGCAGTTACRTTTCCTGTGTCAGAATTTATAGCCAGGAGAAGAAGCAATTTGAAGAAGCTGAACAAGTACCAGTGTATGTCATTAATATGCATGTGGTGAAAAGGTGCATTCTGCCCTACATCTGTGGTGAAAACAAAACAGCTGCAACCACAGGCACACTTGTAAACATTTGTATTAAAGCCAGATGCAGACTAATTTGATTTGATCAATACTTCTGATGCYGTGTTAAATAACACCGCCTTGGAAAGATTGCTCAATTTAGTGATGAGATTAAGAGCATTTTTATGTGCTTTGCTGAATGGCAAATGGTGTTGGCATCACCTTAAGTGTGCTGCCTGTGTACATGACTTCTGGATGTGAAATGAGCAGAAATGCACACAGAAATTAATCCTTTTTGTTCCTTTTTCTTAGATGAACTTCGTCAAGCTATCGTGGCCATGATGAATAGAAAGGATGAACTGGAAGAGCAGAATAGGTAGTTTGCTTTTTTTAGTCAAGAGGGATTGYAATTAAAAAAATCTCTTTTYTAATACAAKCTATCCTTYATGTAAAGCTATATATAATCTTTATGTCTTTTTTTGATGTATATATTATTTTTTCTATGAAAGGTAAACTTAATTCACTATTTAAATGTTGATACTGAAGAACAGTGTTTTGARGGCAACTTTTTGCTTTAGTTTGAATCAGATAGCTCTTTGTGTCTTGGAAGTTTTGGCAGTTGTAGTTTTTTCAGAACCAAACCCTATAGCCAAAAGATTCTGAAGCTCTCTTAAAATGCCTTCCCAAATGATCAAAAGTTTCTTCTAATGCAAATATTCAGAAAATTTCTGATTTTCTCCTTCTGATGAAGTGGTGTAGGATGGCTGACAATGTAATGCTGAAAGTAGCTTTCATTTGTGAGTGGCTTTATGTTTACTTGAAGCAAAATGATGRTGTAAATGTAAAAATCATCAGTAGTTTCTATAAAATGCCATCAAACCTACTTTCTATTTATTCAATTTATTGAAACACATAGTTAGATGAATGAAAATACAAATTTATTCCATGCATTAATAGGGCTATTTTGGTAATTTATATTTTCCTATAGGTATTTTGTGGTTGTTTTAATGCTGTGCCTACCAACTGATCCTATTTTCCTGCCACCTCTTCTTCCCAGTCCCATAATTGCAAATTATTGCCTCATTCAGCTTTATGGTTTTTTTTGGCAGAWGGACCAGGATACTTTGGGTTTTGCCATTATGCATTGTGCTGACCTTTGCTATCTCATCAAGGGTTCTTACACAGAGGTCTGTGGCAATGCTTTTGGCAGARACAAGAGCCTTACTATAAATACATTTCTTATAGGTTATTCCCAAGATGTATGGACTTGCACTGAAGCACTGAAAACAGCTTATAAGCTTTTTTTGAAAACAAATTCTTTCTGCATGGTGGCACAGTAGATCCCATAACAGGTTGTGCTTTGGGCATGTTGACAAGRCAGTAATACAAATTAATAGTAAGCATTTGCAACTGCTTTTTCCTTGTAGCTTTTCATATCTTTGTATAATCAAATCAGGTGAATTTGTTACATTGACTAATGAAATTTTAGGATGACGTTAATGGCATCATTCAGGCAAGCTCCTGTGTGWTTCTTAGAGTATGCTCTGATTACCAGGTAGTGTGTGCAGTGTTCTAAAGAGAGGCTGTTGSCTTCTTGCAGATCCCTGCGGAATCTGCTGGATGCAGAGATGGAACATTCTGCAGCACTGAGGCAGGAAATGGAGAACTGCAGGAGGAAGGTAGCAGAACAAGAAGAGCGACATGCCACGAAAGTCCAGGCCTTGACACGGTAAGAAGTGCTGAAAATGTCTCAAAAAGTGACTGCAGGGMTACAAGGGAATAAAAGAGTCTGCATACAAGAGAAATCATTTTCCTGTGGCTAAGTTTGCAGAAGAACATGAATGATTTAGGACTAATAATCCTATTGTAAGCCATAGCTGTCGCTAAACATTAYCAACAGGCAAGTACCAAGTTCTGAAGTGGTGCAGCTGTTTTTTCCCATAGCTCTAGGAAGATCAGCTGGAAGAGGTTGCTCAGGACCATTTGCAGGCAGGTTTTGAATACCTGCACAGACAGAGACTCCCCAGCCCCTTTGGGCAGTGCTGCTGGCAGTGACTCCTTGGCAGTTCTGTGGGGTCCAGGCTGCTCTTGGCTTTCTTTGCCACAAAGTGAGTGTTGCAGGTTCATAGTCARCTGCTTGTCCATCAGGGCTCCCAGATCCTCCTCAGAGGTGTTTTCCAGCCTTCCAGCACTGAGTGTCTCGGGCTGTTTCTCCCTAAATGCAGAACACTGCATTTACCCTGGTTGAACCTCACAGACATTTTCTGAGCCCAGCTCTCCGGCCTGTCCCAGTCCCCCTGGATGGCAGCACAAACACACAGTGTCTCTCTGCTCCCCAGTTTTGTGTTGTCTGTGACCTTGCTGAGGATGTGCTCTGGCCCAGCATCCAGGTCATTAATGAAGGTGTTAMACAGCTTTGGTCCCAGGAGKGATTTGCCTCCAGCTTGACTTTGTRGTACAGTTAAATTGAAAGAATTTTAACCCTCCTTGTCTCAGTGTGATTCAGCTTAAGAAAGACTTTTGAAGGTACATGCTGCTGTGATAGTGTGATTTTCCTTCTTACAATTCAAAATAAGCTCTAGAGTAACCATGGTGTGTAAAATCTTGGGGGTGATTCACATGTATAGTAAACAACAAACAATCCAAGAGTTAAATCATCTTCCTTATCCCAGAGAGAGGTGTTTGTTTTCTGCATGCATAGAGTGTTTAGTGTCAATCACAAAGTACCACAGCTGAGACTCCTATAAGCTTTTTATTGCCTATTTGAAAATGATAAATATAAAGCTTTCTTTAAAAAAAAGGTATTTAGGATGCTACTAATTCTGCTTTTGATGACACATCAAACCAAACAACTCGCTTTGAGGGAGGGAGAGATATGAATAAGTGGTTTGACATTCATGTGCTGTAAGGCAATAGAGACAATGCAAATACTTCATCATTTAATATTCATGTTTCAGGTTATAGGAGTTGTATATTCATATTTCTTTGACTCACTCCCCCGCAGTGTTAGAATTTGCAGTGACATATGGGTGAATCAGATATTTGTCATGCACATACCTCTTTAAAGAATAGATAAGGAGCTTTTATAACAAGACCTGAAGAGTTGCTCACTTGGACTAACTAGGTATTTTTAAACAAGTCAGTGTAATTTCTCTTTGTGCTATATGGGTCTGTTGTGTTGATTGCTCCTCTGAAAGTCAGCTTGCCATGTCATGTGATAAAAACAGTGTTGGGAGCCGCTTAGGCATGATAAATTCATGTGTCACCGGTTACTTTGGACTGGGGAGGCATTTCTTTAATGATTCATTGCAACTCATTTTCTAGCATACTCACACAAGAAACTTTGCATGCAGTTTGCCTGGAATATAGCTTTTTCTTCTTAATTTTTGTGTTGGCTCACTTTGCTGTAGGTGATGGTGCTGCAATAATGAGTAGTAAATCTTTTAAAATAAATAATGTTTTAAACCAAGTATTTGAGCAAGCTGAATAATCTAAAGAATTTGAAGTGAAAAAAAGTTTGGAATTGGTCTGTGAGTGCTGCATAATACACTAGGTGAGTAAGAGGAAAATGAGTTTCCCCAGATATTTTGAAGTAATGAAACCTCACTGTTTCCCTTGAAAACAATCGATCACATGACCAGAGTAGAAAATTTTCCTCAGTTGTAATGTTCTGAATATTTTAAAGAAAGGGAAATCATTCAGTAACAATCTGACTGTTGTGATTTGATGAATGAATATTTTTTAGATTATGAGAGCTGATATTTATGTGTGTCTCCAAAGCTCTTTTGAAGAATTTGACATAAATAGCTTCCTGAAGGCTTTGAGAACACAAATTTCAGTGACACATCAGTCAGTGCTGAAATGATGGCTTCTGGAAATCTGCAATTATTCAGCTGGTCTCCTGGACTCTCCCAGGAGTCTCTGGCCTCCCAGACAAAATGCTAGTTTACTGAGAGGCATTTTCTTAAGTTTCCAAATTCTCTTTGAAAAATGGAAAAAGTCTTAGGTCAGTTTAGTTTCAAGTAGTGRTAATCTCATTGTTCCATGTGAAATATTTGAATAACTCTTTCATAATGGTTACTATATTGTTCCAAAAGGAGCAGGTTCAGGTTCAGCCTATTTCCTGGTCTTCTGATAGAATACACTCAATAGTCTCTCTAGTATAATGTTGTCAGCTGTTTTTTTTTTCCTTCCCTTTTTTTTTTTTCTTTTTTCCGATTGTTTTGTTTTTGGTTTGTTTTTATCCTCATCAATGAACCTTTCTCAAATTGCATGGACATATTGTGCCAGTGGCTTCTTGGCAATACTAAAGTTTTTTAATTGAGATTCTTTTTTTTCTGTGTGGAATACTATTACATCCCTTTGCAAGGCAAAGAAATTTATTGGAGTTGACTGTGAAATTGGATAATCTCAGATTGCATATTCTTAGACTATATTCAGCAATGTTGGAGGAAAGCATATTACAAAGGACAGGCTTTGTAGCAAGAAAAGCAGGTAGAGAAGATGAAAATGCACTGTGTGGGGAAATGGGGGATGAGAACTTGGCTCTACTTTATCTTACACTTCTACTTCTCCTGTTTACTGTAGATTCTGTAACGTAATCTGCCTCCTCTATCTGCTGTCTGTCTTCCTTAAACCTCCACTGCTTTTGGATTTGGCATTTTCTATTATTCTGTTTTGTAACAATCCTTTCACAATCATGATCCTTCAGTGAGGGGTGAAATGATGTGTGGTGYATCTTGAAATGATTCCATCGCTTCCCTTAAGCAGCTTCTTAGAGGAARAACTATCTCTTGTTCTTGCTTGTGAAAACTAATTTGAATATTCCTGTATTAAATGATTTTTTTCTTCCTGCTTAGTTAGTTGATGACATGTCACAAGTCATTAGTAGCTCCTCTACACAAAAAAAAAAAACCAAAACCATACTGGAAGTGGAAGCCAGCACATTTAGTAAGGGACAAAGGAGCTTCCAAGAGGGAGGAGGAGGAAGAAGTGGATGAGAAAGATTATTTGGCAGCAGGGCATCAATGAGGGCAGGAGGAAGGGGAAGAACTCCTAAACAAGGTGATAACCACCCAGCCTCCATCTCTCAGTGAGCTCCCAGACACAGAAAAGGTTTCAGTGCTAGCCCTGCTTCAGCTGCAGCCCCAGCCCATGACAAGCAGCTAAGTTTATCACATTATTCCTCGTTACWGTGTCTTCTGCAGATTGGTTTTATTATATAATCTCATTATATTGTATGTAGTTCAACTTCCACTTCTATGAGTAACAGTTCTCATTTTCCTTATTTAATTTAGGGTATATTTGATATCAGTTAACTGTGATCTTGCATCTCCCAATAGCAGAATCATTCAGGTTAGAAGGCATCTCTGGAAGTCCTCTAGCCCAGCCTCTGCTGTAGATTCTACAGATTGTTGCTGTACATTATTTATTTCAATTAATTCTTAATTCCTGCAGGTTTTTTTATTGTTGGGATATTTGGTGCTTTTCTAGTATTTCCTAAAAATATTGATTTTTTTATCAAAACATAGACATCAGTTAGATTCTTGTAGTTTGGTTTTTTGTTTGCTTGTTTATTTTGTTTTTTCCAAGAATGAGAAACAATAAGCTGATACAGAGGCATATTAGAAAATTGTGACTGGGCCATAGTGGCCTGCTTTGAATTTCAGTCAAAACCTTAAGTGAATTAAAGGCTTTCTAAACTTCATCTGTGCTGTATCAGTTGTCAGTAGGCACAATAGTAAAATACAGATTTTTTTTAATGCTGTCTCAGTACAGACAGAAGGCAAGGAGTCTATTCTCGTATGTAGAAATGAGGTGATATATGATTATTTCATGAGAATCCTTWATACTCAATATATTGTATCTGTACACTGTTATTTTCATGCAGACATTTTTACAATTCTGGTGAGAAACCTTTTTGTTTAGCTGTCACAGAATTTTTTTCATGAATGAATTATTTAGGTTTGTTTTAATATAGTATATTGGATTATACTGTGGTTTTTTTTTGTTTTCTTCCCCTTAACCTGAATATTAACATCTGTCGCTAGTGGAAAAACTGATTTATAGTCTCAGAAATGAAAAATATCATCAAATGCATTAAATCATCAAATACTCTTAAAATTCAGACGTCGAGCAATCAATAGCTTCTCAATTATTTAGCAATGTCCTACTGAAATGCTGAGTAAAATTGAGGCTACAAAGTTCAACAAGCTGACTTGAAATCCATAGGAATGTGGATATAGTAACAATCAAAGCTTCTTACAGGAGCAGTATAGCATTGCTCACAACAGCAGTTCRTGCATGTGTGTACATAAATATATGCATATTTTATGTGTGTATATGGATCATCAAACATATTGCATGTTTTTTTGAATGYTTCTAATTCTTAAATAAATTCCCATAAATAAAAAGCCTTTTCTTTTTGTGCATCTCCTGTTGACAGTTTTTTTGTGCTGTGTTACATGCCCAGGTACCATCGTGTCTGGAGCRTGGCCTTGGCCATCCCAAATTCCCTCCTCTCTCTGAACACTTGTGYGTGTTCTTCTGGATTTGTGGCACCTGCATATTTCTACCTTGATGTTTTTTTRAAGAAGAATAAAAGTTGTCTGAATTCACAATCTTGCAGCACATTTTAGTTATGTTTCTTCGGTATAAACATTTGTCATACTTTCTTAACTGAATTGGCTTAGGCAGATAATTGAATTTTCAGATACATGATTTGTCAGCTTTGTTTAAAATTCAATCAGTTGGAGCCCTTTTTATTTCTCCCCAAATATAAGCTAAGGTGCTTAATRTTGTTAAGTGGAGCCAGGGTAGTACCTGGTTTGGATACTTGTACACTCCAAAGGAAAATGAGACAGGCACAGGCACTGAACTCTGACAGCCAAAGGGATTACCTAAATTTCTTGTCTTATGGTTTTCATTTAGGAATGGTTTGTGGAAAWTTTTTACCTTGAATGTTGTTACTGAAGTGCTGCCATTTTCTTACAATGATAAAGCCTGTTTCTAAAGCTGAATCATTATTTACTTGGAATTAGATAGTTGCAAAAAGTAAAATAATGATTTCATTTTACATTGGCCACTCTGAATTTCCTTGTGTAGTATTCCTTCCTCAAGTTTTAATTGATGGTGATTTAGACAGACTGCATAGTTTGTTTGCCATCAWTATAGCATAGTATAGGAAATCTAAATTAAACAATTAATGGAAATGTTTTGATTATGAGATAGTTTGTTTCACTGATGTGTTTATGTSGTCCCGGAAAACTAATTTTCCTGGTACTCTGCTGTTGATGAATTATTTAATGTGTAAGCCTTTTTTTTTTTYCCCCTCTCATCATGGTGACCCAACTTAGGTAAAGCTTATTATAACAGCCTGTTTCCACTGAAAAGAGCTTTTCATCTATTTTGAGAAATGATTATACTTATTTATTCTGTTTTTTTAATCAATAGAGAAAATGAAGTGCTAAAAGTGCAACTTAAGAAGTATGTAGGAGCAGTCCAGATGCTCAGAAGAGAAGGTCAAACAGTGGAAGGTAAGGATAAAATGAAGGGGGGAAAAGAATCCATGCACAGAGTTTGTTTTTCTGTCTGCTGCCATTGAGGGACTAATATCTCCCAATAGTGAAAATTAACATATTTGATGTATTTTCTTTTGTGAAAAACACTAAAGTAGTTTTTTGTATTCTTTTTTACASAGCATTTTCTAGTAAATGAGGTAGTCTTGCTTTTTTCAATAAGAAATTTTCCAGAAAAAGCTGTCAGATGAAAATTTAGTTAAAATAAATATCTTTGAATTAAAGTGATATTGGACTATAAAAATAAATTTAGTTTGGAGGTCAGTATTTGCAGCCTGTGTGAAATAGACTCTGTACTGAGTAGTAATGACCAGATTTTATACCTGAAAGACAATGAGTGAAAATCAGCAATTTTACCTGTTTGGCCTGTGATAGGAGTATCCATGAGGGGCTGAATTGRTGTCTTGGCTCCCAGTCCTCTCCTGGTGGGACCTGTATTTCCACTGCTTACAGAAGGTGTTTAGAGAGATGAGAGGGGTTTTCAGGAATAAGCACCATCAGATTTTTTAAAATTGTGAATATTTTGGACATAGAAGTGGTTGAATGAATGRATACTACTGCTCTTAAGGGCTAGACACTGCACTTCTCTGCAGCTTCACAGCTTCATTCATCCCTAAAAGGATATTTGTTAGTGAGAGCACATGTTTTTACTTCCGACTTTGCTGGAGTGTAGTGATTCATATTAAGAATTATTCACGAAAACCATYGCTTAGGCTTCCTATAATAGCAGAAATTATCCTTCATTAGGTAGTGACAGTTTCCATGATGAGTRTAATTATAGGAAAAGAAAAAAAAATATTCCTAGGCTAGCTATATTGCACCATGGTAAAATTATGCAGATTAGTGAGTGATAAGAATAGAAACTGAGTAGGATGGTCAGATTTTGTAGATGAAAAAGGGGGATGGAACAGTACCAACATTTCTAAATAGGAATACATGTATACTTTATGCTGGAAGGATATTTAATCAATCCACAGTAATTTTGTATAATGTTTATCACTAGTGACCAGAATAAATTTCAGCTACATGCAATATTTGTAATAAACTTATCTTACATTCTAACTTCACATGTTGTATTTTTATAAAAATAATTGTTTTCCTTAGCTGCCCTTGAAAATTTAGGTGAAATTTTARTAGTACTGGGCCTCTCAAAGTACATAAGCATGTAAATAACCCCTGAGAAGTAGCTGCAAAAAAGGAGTGAAACAAAAGGAGTTTTTTTTCTTTTACCAGTTTTATAGAAACTATTGCACCCATGGTTTGAATATATMATGTGTATTTTTAATGATAATAAATCTTCTGAATGGTATCAAAACAAAAGTCTTAAATGCATTGTAGGTTTTAAAACATAGATTTTCTGTGACTCTATTTTGAAAGAGTCAGGATAAATTTGGCTTGKGCTGTTATTTTTATCACTATAAATAATGAAGACTCTACATGTTTGCTACAATAATCAGATCAAATGCTATTGAGTATGGCTTTTAAATAGTTTCCTAAAATAATAAATGAAACTCAGCTTGATACTTTGCCTTGTGGTGACTTAAAAAGGCCAAAAAAACCCACTCAGCAAATGTGATTATAAGTAAATTACTCAAAAGTCAGAACTATCTGCTTTAAAAATGAGTGATCACTGCTTCAGCCTGAGCAGTTTGATATTGGTATTTAAATATTTAATAAATGAGCATCATGATTTCTCAACCATCAGCAGGAGTTGGCTCTGTACCATTTTTCAAACCTGCTTAGAGAGAAAATTTATATAAAAATGCTGATCTTAGAAGTCTGKCTGAAGAACTTCAAGCAACATTTACAAGAAAAAGATCTTGAAATAGCTTTCAAATTCACTTAAATAATAATAAACTTCTAAATTCTTCCTCAAAGCAAAAATCAGTTCCCAGGCTCAAGAATATTTAGTCAGATAAATTATGGTCTCTCCTACCTACCTTAGTGCGGTTGTTTGTAGAGCTCAGATTTTGAAGAATGGTGAAAGCCTTTGTTCAACTTCTCTTTTATTAGGGCTTTACTTTTATGGTTAACTTGTTTTCTCAGAAATTCATGAGCTGTGAGGAAAAGTTGAATTGGATTTTGTGTAACTTGGAGGAGATTTACTTAGAATAGGCCTTAAAGCGTTCTTCAAATCCATAAAWGATAGCTGGGAACAGGAATAGAATAAACTGTAGTTTTCATTCACTACAGATAAAAGGAGAAGTAATGGGCTGACATGGCAGGTGAAGGAAGTTGGATTGCATATCAGGAAAACCTTTGTGAGAAGAATACTTAAATTGCAGTAGGTTGTGCAGGGAAGCATGATATCTCCCTTCTTGGAAGTTTCTAGGAATAAATTGGACAATTAACTGTCAGGAGGGGAATAACAGCTGATTCTGCGTGATGCAAAAACATGAAATACTGGATGAAGTGTGGAATGTCCATTCTCAGCCTTATTTTCTGTAATTTCTATGATATTTAAGCAGTCAGTACAAGTAATATGAAACAATATTTTGGAAGTCAAGTATAAAAAAAGGCTTCAAGACAAGAAAAGGCTTAGTTTTAAAAGACTTTGGGCAGGGCTTGCAGCTACTACACAGATATATTAGCTGTAATCACAGAACAGCCAAATGCTTTTGGTTTCCATTTTTTTCTGTTAAGATTCCAATCCAAATACTGCTCAGAAAAAACTCCCTGCAGAAGTTGTATTTTAGTACTGGTAATACTCTTTAATATTATGTTCTGGATCAATACTTTTAATAACTGTTTCTTACCGAGCTGTTATTTCTAAACAGGRTGTCTTAGATGTTTATGGAATTTAACCTTTTAATTTGAGGTATSTCTTTGTTATAGTTCTGCCAAACATTTGGAGCACTGATGGTGAATTTACAATTCCAGAGCAAAAGCAAGTAGAAAACAATGAGGAACTGGCCAACTCTTATGAAAGGAAATTGATTGAGGTAAAGTTTCTACTCCCCAGATTTTATGGAATCGTAATACAATGTTCAAAGCTTAAATAGTTTCTTTGCTTAGTTGTTATTTTTTTCCCCAGGAATGTAAAAGATAAATCTGATTTTTTTTCCTTAAAAAAGATAATTAAATGTACTTTTCCTAACAGGGGTACACTTTTATACTCTGATATTAAAATGAAGGTTTTAAGAAATAAGCAGGTTCCATAAAGTTATAACTGATGGTGATGAAGTTGAAAGCATCACAGACAGTAGGTTTGAGGTTTTCTGTAAATTACAGTTCATAATTACAGGCAGGGCTGTGTTGGCAGTTGAGCTTTATTTAAAATGAGGACACAGTGAAATCTGTAGCTTTTTGTGTGCTTTCATGCTGATTTCTGATTGCAAACCATGTTTCATTTTTGTATCGCTTATTGAATAGTGCAGTAAGSAAATGTGTGATAGAAGCTACTACTTCTGTTGATATGACCATGTTAGAAAAAGTTCCYAAGGCAAGATTTACTTTTAAGATTAATGTAAAATTCATTAAAGGAAAAAAAAAGATAGATTAGGGTTTCATCCTAAATTTAAATACAAATTATTTTCAAGACAAAAGTAATGAAATTTAATATCTAATACCCATATCTCTTATTAAATATTAAAAGAACATTTTTATAAAAAGTAAAACAATTCTCTATGTCTTACTCTTGCCGAAAATATTCTGAAATTGGATACCCACATTAACTGATTAACATGAAGATGAGTAAAAATKCAGGTCATGGATCAAAGAGCTTAATACTGTTCTTCTAAAACATTCAYACTTGGTTATCCTTTTCTCACAGGACCATGTGAAACTAATTCTCCCCCTAATGCTTACCTTTGGTTGAGTTCTTCTGACTCCTTTCCTCTGTTCTGTACCTATCAAAAGAATATCTTAATTAAGAACACAGGTAAAATCTCCTTCAGCTTTGGAAGCCTCCTTGGTTGTCCCAGGTTTGTTCTGYGTGCTCAGGAGTTTGTTGCTGGCACTTTTGAGTTTGTGGCAGAGTGTCAGCGGTGACACAGTTTGCGATGTAGCCACAGGAAAACTTCCTTGCCAATCCCATTGGGAAGAGGGAGGCTGCATCTTAATTCACTTAATTTCACTTATTAATCTCCAGCAATATCTTCATGTRCCCAAAAAAAGGATGTAACCCCTGTAAAAACCCTTCTTGAAGGCTCTCAGCATGGCATGCAGTGTTAGTCTCGGTAGATACTGGTAGGACTGGACACAATTGACAGAGACTGGGAATTACTGTGAATGTGAATAAGAAGTTCATCTAACATGCACAGTTCCCAGTTTATTTTGGGATGAAAGCTGCAGCTCATTTTCCACTTGTCGGTTTTGATGAAACCTGATTTATGCTTATCTTGTAGTGTAGATTTATGCTTATCTTGTGTAGTGATAGTAAAAACCCAACCCACCAAAAATCCACACAACAAAACAAAACCCAGCCAAAGCAGCTCAACACCACCCTTGTTCTCACATGGTCTCAGTCTGTCTYTGACCAAAGAACTTCTTTGCAGATGGAAATATGAGAATAGACAACGGAGGTTTTGAAACAGAAAACAACGATGGAGCATTTCATGGCTGTATAATAGATTTTTCAGAACTATCTCTGCTATTTGGAGTTTTGCTGTTTTTCACTTGTAGAAAAAATGGAATTATTAATAGTTAATAGCATACCAGCTCTGCTTTGCAGACCTTTGGCGTTGTTTCTTTTGAGGAAAAGATGCAGGAGAACATTGATTTTTGAAAAGAAAATCTTCTCATGGGAAAAATAGACCCATGCTTCTACTAAGAGCAAAAGGAAGCAACTTCCAGTGCTGTCTAGAGTTTCTTGGGAAACATGTTTTGTATTTTCTGACTATTGCAGAAAACATGCCTATACCTGACAAAAGGTCATTAATTCAGACGTGGCTTGTGCAAAAACTTCTATGAAGCCTTAACTGCAACTTACACCAAAAAAAAATCTTGGGTTCCAGTAAAACACCCTGTAAAAATTACTAATTTTTGATGGTTGCAGGTCTTTATTTATTTAATTTTTATTGTTGCATTGCTGTTAAATGTCTTTTCCTCTATCTAGAAGTGTGTCCTTCCAAGACAGATTGTATCATTCCATGCTTAGTGAAACTTTCTTATCCTGTTTGAAGTTAACTGCTTGGTSCTTTGCTGTGAAACATGAAGTGGTATTTTCTTTGTTATTTCTCTGGAGACTGCTCTCAAAYGTGGTCCTGCTGGGCACTGTAACTGTAGTGCTCTCAGGCACTTAGGCTTTCTTTTGACAGCAGTTCCTTAGAGTTCTCTTAGTGTGGAAACTCAAGTGTTTACTTTAGCCTCACTTCATGAGAAAGATTTGGGCTCTTTAAACTCTTTTCTCGTATAGGAAGGAACAAATCTAAATGATCCTCTGTCCAAGGGAAACTTAGATTATTTACACATTATTTTTTTGCTTTAAGCAAATTATTATGGAGAAAAACAACTTAAGGAAAACTATGAAGCATAAGCTTAAGCTTCATTGTKGAGTGAGGAAATGAAGATGTGATGACATAAAATGTACCTGAAAGTGTATAATTATGAGGAGATCTCTATTGTTTTAGCAGACTTTGATGTAGAAAAAAATAAAGGAACTTACATTAATATTGTTATTCATTGCTCCTTTTGATTTGCTGKGATGGTAATGCATTTTTCTTTGACAAGAAGTAGTATTGAAGTTAATTACTAATAAGTGATATCTGCCAATTGTCCTTTTAATAATAAACAGCRAGTGATTTTCTGTTTTATTTGCTGATAAATTTCCTTTTTTTTTACTTGAACTTTGCTAGGGACACATAAATTTGTGCATTCCTTGTAGTGTTTTGAGAGAGTTGTTGAATTTCCATATTAATTGAAYCTGCAAGTAGAAAGTTATTTCAAGAACATCCAAATTAGAGGGAGAGAAAAGAGTCACATATGACTCTGGATTTTGTTCTTCTGATAGAGACAGACACCGAAAAATCAAACATGATTTCAAATGTGCAAACTACTGAGCTTTGTATCCGTTCATAAATCTGTACATTGCTTTTTATAACCAGTCAACAGCAGTATTGCTGCTTTTCTCTGTGGATTTGCAACWCATTGTGTGCTGTATCTCTGTACCTGAAATGAAGGAAGTTCTGCCTTCCAGCYYAGGCTCTGTGTAATTAAGAGTGACMTATTAATATTAAYCTGATATTCTTAAATGTTACACCACTCACTTTAAATTGGGATTAGTGGTTAAGCTAGTATGGAAAATAATTTATCTACAGTTAATATTAATGTTTTCTCTAGTTGGCTTAGTTTTACTCTTTTTTGAAAAGATCAATTACTGGATTTGGAGACTCCCTCTAAAATAAAAAGAAATTGGAAAATAAATTCACCTCAAGAAAATKATTTTATTTTTTATTTTTAATCAATGATGTCAGGTTGTGGCTTGTCAAATTGAAGCTGTTTTTTTTTCTATTTGCTTTGATTATGTGAAGGATACAGGTTTGTGTGGAACAAAGCACTAAATTAAAAGCAGGCACTAAATTAAACTGATTTCAACTGCTTTATTTTGGGGAACTTCCCTGGGGAAGAGGGAGAAGGCAGAGTGATTCAAGAAAAGGAAATAATGAAATTCACAGATAGTAATGAACTGCTTCCAGAAGGGAAACTATGAGCTCTTAAGAGATTTGGCAGTATTTCAAGTCCCTGTGCTATTGTTGAAGGTGTCTTGATTGAAATTCATGTTCAGCTGTGCTTTCATGTTGTTACCCCATTGTCTCCGCTGTTGTCTGAGCTTTGGATGGGGATATGAGGAGGCATTCTGAGAGCTGCCATAACTGAGGAGCAGCTTTACCAATGCTGCTGGGGCTCTGGGAGGGTGCAGCAGTGCCCAGTGCTCATCTGACTGCTGTAACTTTGCACCCTTGTCAGTCCCCAGCCCTTGGCACTCCCAGAAACATCCTGCATCACTTGATGTTCTCATGACTTACAATGCAGAGCAACAGCCACTTTGTGTCCAAAAGGCCACTCTGTTTACCTGTGAGAACAGCCTGTGCCACAGCCTRGCTCTGGTGTGTTTAGACTCCTGTGAGCTTTCACAGACTTGCCTGGAGTGATTGACTTCTAGCTCCAATCCTGTTAAAACTTTGAGTGCCGAATACGTCACTTAGGAATTATTGAAAGAGTTTAATGCAGTTTGTACATTTTGCATTACTCTGAGTTCAAAATATTGCGATTAATTTGTACCTGTTGAAGGCTGCATTCATCAAAGAAATAAACTGAGAGCAGAAATTAATGACTGTTTTATTAGAATCAGTTGTCATATCATCTCAACTGATAGGAATAAAATTTGACATGATGTTGTATTTTGTCCTATTGACTTCAATATGGAAACTACATTTCAAGGCAGTAGTCAAAATTATAGCAATGTCTGTTCTTAATGATTAGTTCAAACTAATGCATTAGCAGTAATTGGAGCCTATGGAAAAAAATGTTGATATAGGTGTAAGAAATTACACATTTTGATTTTTTTTTTTTTTTAGTTCAGAGCTCAGTTATCCCTTGGCTTTGCTTTTCAGGTGGCTGAAATGCATGGGGAGCTGCTTGAATTCAATGAGAGGCTGCACCGAGCTCTGATGGCCARGGAAGCTCTGGTGTCCCAGATGAGACAAGAACTGATTGATCTGAGAGGGCCGGTGAGTGTTTGTTTACTGCACTGTGCAATATCCCTCTGCAGAAGGCTCAAACATGTTATTCATGCTGAAGTATCTGTTAGCTGGTAAGAAATAAAAGATCTGTRTGAAGAATTGGCTCTGTACAATTCCTTTCCTCTTAACTATTCTAGCTTATGCTTTACATTTTGCATTTTCCTTTTAAAGGAAAGAAGATATCCTTTTATGTTTATTCTAKCTATAAAGTAAGGCAAAAAGCTATTGCTGTTTCAGTTSTAAATGGCCTTGCAATCTTTTTTTCTAACAATTGCTACTTCCTTTGATTCTGCAGGTATTAGTCCGTCATTGTATCTTTATGAACTTTTGTAGCTATATAATGTTTTGTAAGATCACAGCTAAAATGATCATTGTCCTTCCCTTAATGGAAGGGAATTTTATTGGTTGTAAAAGGAAGTGATCAGTAGGTTTTATGTGCTTTATATTTTCCCATAAGTTGCTTATACACACAAAATACTTTGTTTTAGCCTCTGTTGCTCATAAAGGCCTAACAATGATGCTCTTTMCTGGGCTTTCTATACCTTTCAAAATTACATGCTTTTATAAACCCCAACTTGTTTCTTTACAAAACTGTAGCAAATTCTAACATGAAGGACTCACAAGGGTGATATGTTTACAATCCTCTTTGCAGGATTTTTTTTTTTCTTTTATTGTCAGTAATAGTTTTTACTGGCATTTATAACACTGAATGTTGAATTGTAATTTCCTTATGATATTATGCTTTCTTAATTGAAAACATAATAAAATAATCAGTGTGTGGAAATTATTTCTGTGTTGTAAATATAGGTCCCTGGAGATTTGAGTCAAACATCTGAAGATCAGAGTTTGTCAGATTTTGAAATGTAAGTTTCATGATTCACAAAATTCTCTCTTCATACTGTCTTTATGGGAAAGAAGAATGAGCAAACAAATTCAATAATTTGCTTTTCCCATATTATTTCCAATAAATGAATTCTGAGCTGTGGTGATCCATAGTTAAAAAGTACAGAGAGCTGCACCATCCATGGCCCAGTGTAGTTAAAAATATTGAATGCAAGGAGTTTAGATTTAGGGAGATCCTCATGGAGTGCTTTTTAAATGCCCCAGGTCTTGGTATTCTGCCGAAGCACCAACAAACTACTGCTTTTATTGCTTTGGGTTTGATGGATCCTGGTTGCTGTTCATGTTGTGATGGACTTTTCTCATTTTTACAGAATAGCTCCTAATCAATGCTACAAATACTACAACAAAAAAAAAAAAACAAATCCCCACAAACAACTCACCTCAGACTGTTTTAGAGTGTTGTGGTTTGGGATTTTGCCTTTAGTAGTCAAACTAATGAATTTTGCTTTTGTGGATGAGGGAGTGAAAATGTAGCTGATGTGTTTGAATCATAGAAATTTGGAGGTGAATGATGAAGAGTGGATGGAAATGGTTTCTTCATAATTGTGCAGTGTTCTTCTGTTATTTAATGAACTTTAGCTGAGGTTTGCGGTCCCAAATGTTGAGTTCGTTGAAATGAATAATGAATAATCAAATGTTGTTAAATGCATGCTCTGGAAAAGAACCCCAAAACCCAGAAAACTTGCAGAAGGAATTGTTTCTGTTGGGTTAATTTTAGGGAACACTTTTAGATTCAGCATGTATAAAAAGTTCAGTCAGAATTCCAATTTTTCTGCTACTTCATTTGAAATGTTAAGTTGCTTTGTTGATCACTTTGATCATTATCTAAATCACTGGATGTGATTGCTTTGCAGTTCTTATCCATAAATATGATTACTTATTTTAAGTTTTTCTCTYTCCTCCTCAGATCAAATCGTGCTCTTATTAATGTTTGGATTCCCTCAGTCTTCCTGCGTGGCAAAGCTGCCAATGCATTCCATGTTTATCAGGTAAGTGAGACAGCATTCCAGGGATTTTATGGAAAAGTTTCTGACTGAAACAGCACATTTTAATAATTTAGAACTCTCCATATAATTTCATTAGCGATCAGCTAATGAACAGCATCAGTAACTTCATATATATTCATCCATAGGATTGTGTTGATTATTCAAAYAGCATATTTTGAGGGTTTACTGTTAGTAGTTTAATACTTTAAAAGCATGCTGAGATGACTCCATTGTTCAGGAGTGCAGCAATTCAATATTAATCAGTAAYGCCTTCCTCAGTGTGCATATACATATTTTACTTCAATTTTGAGTTTAGCAGCAACCAGCAATGTTGCTTGTCAGACAGAGAGATGTGGTTTACTTGAAAACATCTTGAATAATGAAACAAATCTTCACTGTGTGTTATCGAACGTGTTCACATTGTGTTCTGCCTCAGGCAGATCTGAATTTAGGGGTTTGTGCTCCAGCCTGACTTGCAGTTGAAGCATTGAAATTTTGTATTTTTCCTTGATTCCTGGATCCTTGGTTTCAGAACAGTGATGCCCTCCATGGGTAGGTTGGCAGGATGAATTTCAAACACTCTCTAATGTGCTGTCCCAGGCTGTTTGTATTTCTTGTTTGTGGATTGTTAGCTGCTGCAAAATTACTCTTTTGTTTCAGCAACATGTGCTTAGTTCTAAACAAGATTGCTGAGGCTTGTTAACATTGCTCTCACTCTGAATGATGTTTTTTTGTAGAATTTTGAATCATGTATGAARTGTTGGCAGGTAGTTGAAAAATACAGGAAAGCACCCACCTTTCGGCCAGTAAAAGACAGTGAAAAATAAGACTTGAGGTAATGGAAAGAAAAGCCACCAGGATGGGAACAGTTAGTAATTTGTTCAAAAACATTGAACAATCAATCAAATTCAGATACACAGGTGTGTGGAAACCTAACTTGTTGACAAGTGTGATTATTTTTGTCTTTCTGGCTTTCACATATTTCTCCACTCTGCTGTCACTGGCTACACATTCTTGAACCCAGACACAAGTCTGCCARCACAAAAATTCTTAAAAGCATCAATATCTCACCCCACCTGTTACTCTGATGATGTTGCAGTTCCACGACCACTAGAAAAGCTCTGGTTTCTCCTGCTTCTTCCCTGAGTTTCTCTGTTATTTTTCATCTCCTTGAGCAGGGAASTTGGACCAGATGGCTCCCTGTGGTCCATTCCAGCCTAATCCATTTTGTGAATTCTTTGAAGAATTTAATATATTTTTAATTTTACTTATAACTTGGTATCAAATTAGGTTATTAAGAGTTCAATATTTGTCATGCAGTTTGACTAAACATCRTTATACAAGTGGCATCATCAAAGCCTGCAAAGTATGCTGAATTCATGTGTGCTATAGGTGTTCTGCACATTCAAAAGGAAAAACGTTGAGATAAACTAATTCCCAGTTTGTAAGAGGTTCAGAACTTTACTCAGAATCTCCTGAAGTGAGTAGAGGGTTAGATGTTGCTTGTCATCAATGRAAAACAAAGAACTTGTAGTTGAAGGGTAAGCCTCTTGTGAGCAGGAAAATGAAGCAAAATATTTCTAAAAGGTTAGAAACTCTGAATCTACAAAAAGACAATTTTGAGAATTTTATTCGGTTTTTTATGCCTACAGCACAAAGCAATAATGGTGGGCATTCATAGTGTGCTAAATTCTGTTTGTTGGTATATTTGAAAAATGTGCAAGTTCTTCTGAATATGCTCCATTCATTATCTTTTCACACTATCAGTTTACAGATTTTTTTTAATGTGAAAAGTTAAATATAGCTGTCTAGAACAGACACAGTGTAGTCAAACTAGTTTGTCTTTAGTTACAGAACAGCACAGGTTACATGGAATTTTTCCAGTGAACAGTTGTATATTTGCTCAACTTTGTGTTTTAATAGCTGAGAGAAAAGGAAGTAAGGATTACCTGTGTAAGTGACCTAAAACTTCTATAATTCTTTTTAAACTTTGATCATGGCAGATCCTTCTGTTGAGATCTTTCCTTATGGRAGAATCCATTAATATCATTCCTGACAGTTTTTGATCTCAGTAGGACGAGTGTCACTGGTTTTCTGCCACCGTGCATGTGAAAAAGAGGTGTTTTCCCAAAYAGACATACACAATTCTGTGATGAAACAATTGGAGTGAGTGCCACATCTCTGATCAGATATGTAGTCATGTGCTTGCTGAAGATATATTTTATATTTTATAGTGATCAGGAAAGCATTAATTTAGAAAACTTCGGAATAGCTTCAATACCAGCACTGTGCATTTATCTTATTAAATGTCTGCCAAAACATGTGCTCCTGATTACAGAGAATTTGATTCAATGTTGAAATTGTGGAAGAGGATTTTTACTAGGCTACCAGTATATAYTGAACAGGCCCAGACTGGAGTGCAATTAGGATAAATGATTGAGCTTATTTCTGAGAGTTCTTTTATTCATAGTAAACATTATTTTTACTGTTTTATAATTTATTTCTCCAGTGACAGACAATAAAATGCATGTCTAACTCTTTGTATCAGTTACATGAGAAATTACTTGTKGTATAGTAAAGGCAAGTAGCAATATTGCAGAATGTTGGTGAGAGTTAGATCATTACCAGCATTTTTTGGAGTTCAGGTTTTCCTGAGAGTACTTGAGTGAACAGATGTRAAAACTGACTTTTTGTTGTGCTGGTCAATTCTGAGAAAAAGGTGTCAAATGAACTTCGGAGAAAGCTAAAGTGTGCCGGTTGGAACAGGCAAAGTTTGAAATTTTGGTTTGGTTAGGTATGATTTTTAGATATACTAAATACTTATGACTGTACATAAAGCTAACTTGAAATTAGCTCTAAGGTGCTTAAAAGAGCTGAAAATTAGATCATATGTGTAAAACTATCAAGGTAAGATGTAGCTACTAAATGAAAGTGTTACAAAAGGGCATGAACCTTGGCCATTGCTTTTCCAGATGCAGTTAATGTGATTGTATTTCTGACATGGCTTGATTTCTCCTGCATTTTCTATTATTAAAAAGCTAAAGAGATTGTCCTTCTGTCCCCTCCTAATGAGCCACCTTGTTAACCTTTGCTGATTTGGGATTGTGCCTCTGGAGCACTTCACTTGATGGAGAGAGTAGGACTGTGCCAGGGGAGACTCGCTATGTCACAATTACTGCTGATGCACTTTAGAATTGTTGAGCCTCTTCTGTCCCTTTTTGCTTATAAATAGGTGTTTGTAGCAGAAAATAACCTACTGTGTACATATCACTTACCTTGGAAAGGGTCAAAGGAGGGTGGAGAGAATTGYAGAGCATCTCGAGTAGTTTGGAAAATTATGAACCTATCAGTTCTATTGTATCTGTCATCTGTTTTCATGGACTTCTGAAGAATATAAGAATGAGGAGAAATAAAGATGGGTTGCTGTGTCTCTTYGAAATCAATGCCAATTTTGCATTTGTGCTTCTTAAACCAGGAAAAGAAATTAAKGACATGTTAATTTGCATATCAGGAAGGCCTGACCTGGACAGGATAAGAATAGACTCCTGCAGGAACTTTGTTATTGTGCTTTCTTTTAAAAACTTAATTTTATGTTTTTAAATTTAATGCAGATTTGTAATGCTGTTTTGAAGGGCATTTCAAAGCATTTCTTTTTGTGTCATGTTAACATCTGTTTCGGATGTTCAAAATCAATGCATTTTTCATCCTTAAAAAAACCCAGATGTTGCTCTTCAGTAAATACAGCAGGAAAAGTTTCCAGCACCAGCATTCTTGTCGCATAGTTTCAACCATGAAATAGTTTCTTTAATTTATGTTAAGGATTAAAGATTCTGGAAAAGCTCAGAAATAAGGTTGTGGACTCTGAAAGCGAGCAGCATTTGATAATGAATCCTGTTAGACGTGGAAATTTCAATCAGACCTCTGTATTTGCTGAGTTATGCTGCACTCTTGCAGTAATGTTTAACCGGCAGAATTAACTAGTTATGAAAATCTTAAGGATTTAAAAACAAGCTCTGGAAACTTAGCCAAATTTTATGCTCAATTTGAATGGCTGAGTTCGAGGGGACAGTTGTGAGCAGCAGATAATTCAGTGCCCCAGTTTAGCACTCTGTTACTGTCTTAAAAATTAACAGAGCTGCAGATCTGTATCATTCAGCTGGGGATGGTACAACAATTAGAGGGTGTATAAATTTTACAGGAAAAGCTGTTTAGAATTGGATGTGCACTTCAGTGCAGTAACTGAGTTCAATTAAAAATAGTTTTTCACTTGTTTTCTCAGAATATAAAATAGTAACAGAAAAATGCATATTTTATAATCTCTGTTCMCCATGGAGTTGTTATGGGTTATTCCCGTTCTGGATTATTCCTTGTGGAGAATAGCAGACTGCCTGTTTTAAATTAAATGCCAGTGGCAGATCTTATTGAATAAATAAAGAATAAATTTCCATATGCAGTGCACCAGGAATTCAAAGGTGAAAGAGCAGAAAAGTGACTGATAAATAGCTTCTGGCTTGCATAGCAGAGATTTCAAATTAGCTAATCTGACATAATTTTTAAAAGGATTTAAGGAGGTCGAAAAACCAAGTTGTTACAATCATTAGGAAAGGCATAGACAAATAAAAAAGTGCTATTATGCTGTGTATAATCTCTGTTTTCTCTGTGTGCAGTTCTCCTCCTCTCCAAAGAAATTTATCACCTGCAAATAATATGGGTGAAAAAAAAGCTTTCTCATTGGAGGAGCATATTAGAAATTCTCAACTTGCATGAAAGACAACTGAGAGGAGAATACAATAGCAGTCTTTCRAATCAGGAAGGAAATGGAAAGATTTTTAACTGTTTTAAAATGCAAATTGGAGCATCCATTGAAACTATTGCCTTGCAATTTCCAAACTAGTGCATGACTGTGGTTTTCTCCAAGGTGTATAATTGGAGTGAATACTGAGAATATGTGGGTCTAGAAAATAATTGAGCTAATTAAATTCAAGAAAAATCAATCTGAACAC